ACATCATCATACAACGTTGTAGATGGGACTGAGGACGTCATAACCGCAACAGTGACTGTCTCACTGTTAGGTTTCGCGACTGTTTCAAAGTCGGGACGACGTGAGAGAGCATCAGCAACGACATTAAGTCGTCCTGGTTTGTACTCTACCGTAAAGTTGTATTCTGCAAAGAATGACAACCACCGCGCCATTCGTTGTAAAAGGTGCGGGCTGTTCACTGCCGTGCGTGATGACGCATGGTCAGTGTAAACAACGAAGGGTCTATCTCCTAATAGATAGACTCTGAACTTCGCGAGTGCATACTTCATGGCAAGGAGTTCCTTGTCATGCACTGGATAGTTCCGCTCAGCTGGTTGCAGCTGACGCGACTGATAGCAGACGACGCGTTCAACGCCTTCAAGATCGTACTGCATTAATGCACAGCCGATTGCGAAATCGCTGGCATCACAGACCACATGAAATGGCCTGTCCTGATCGGCTATTGCTAGGACTGGGGATTTTATCAAGCTCTGCTTGATACCATCAAAGGAGCGCTGCCATTCAGCGTTCCATAACCACCTCTCGTTCTTTTTCAACAAACGAGAGAGGTGCACAGTCATCTCGGCGTAATTGCGTGAATACCTATGCAAATACGCCGCTAGCCCAAGGAATTTTCGAAGACCTTTGACATCAACCGGCACAGGTCAGTCGGTGATCGCCTTGATCTTTTCGGGATCAGGACGTACACCGTTCTTACCAACGATGCACCCAAGAAGTGGTATTTCGCTTGCTGCAAATATACACTTCTTGAGGTTTGCATACAGTTGATGCTTTCGCATGATTGTAAGAACCTGTCGGACGTGGTACCTGTGAACCTCAACGTCCGACTTTCCATCCAAAGCTCGACTATGGATGAATACGTCAACGAAATAACTCGGCGCGAATTCTCGTACTGGTCTCAACAGATGTGATACACATCTGTTGAACGTGGCAGGGGCATTACTAAGCCCTTGTGGCATTACTAGCCATTCCCAGAGCATGCCGCTAGGCGTGCTAACTGCGGTATAGGGTATATCCCGTTCCCGCATAAGGATTTGATAGAAGCCATCCATCAAATCCATGGACGCAAAGGATGGTACTCTTTGACATACCATCAATGATTACGTCCTTCCTCGGTATCGGCGTCTGAGCCGGTACCGTTGCAGCGTTCAATTTGTTGAACGCGTGCACTATCCGCCACCCTCCTGTTGCTTTTCGCACACAGAAGGTCGGAGAGCTATGTGGGGAAGTTGATTCCCTCACATGGCCCGCTGCTAAACGATCGGCAAAGAACTTGTCGATCGCAAGTACTTGCTCACGAGGCAGTGGCCACTGCTTCATGACACAGTACTTCGAGCCTGGTTTAAGCTCGACTTCGTGTCGAATACCTTTATCCTTCGTAGCTCGCACGGAACAGTTTCAGGGAATACATCCTTGAATTCAACCAAATCTTCATAGAGAGGATTTTTCTTGAGCGATTCCCATGATTGGGAGTCATATCGCTCAATTCGTGTCTTTTCATCTAGGACACTCTCGTCCATAGATGAACTACTGAGAACTCTCTCGTTCTCAGTAAACACTGTTGCTGACCTTATGTCGGTTACACACTCGTCGTCAGCGACGAGTATGCAGATCTGCTTGACTTTGCCACTACGCAGATCACGCAAGAACCTTTTATGTTCGAGCGTTGGCAACTGAGTGATCACCGAAGTCAACTTCGGAGGCGCAATCAGATCAAGTGTTTAAGCGCCTACACTTGATCCGTTATTGACTATGACATTCAATGTCTCTGTCATTTCCTGGGGACTTATTCCCTCAGGCTTCGAAGGACTTATTCCTTCGTCTAACCGGGGACTTATTTCCGCGGGTTTCGGGGAACTTATTTCCGCCGTATTTGTAATCTTGGGACTTATTCCCTTTACTTCCTCTAGCTGGGGTTGCGCAACCACAGCGAGATCCTCTACGAAAGACTCTCCAGTCGATCTAGGATTATCGTTTCGCTTAACCTGAGCGATCGATTGTTTCTCTTCTAGATGTCCCCCGCTAGGGATACATCTTTGTCCCAGTCCACCCGACTTATTCGAGTGGTGGACCTTCGGCGCAGCCTGTGTTTCCTCACAGCCGCCGGAACTTTGCTCCGAAGTGTAACCGTTTGGTACACTAAGGTTTTGTGCAGTCGTACTAACGACCGTACCACAAGTGAGGCCATCGCACTCACTCGTAGTACATCCACACGCTTGTGGACGCTCCAAAACATTCATCAGATGGCCATCTGATGAACAAGCGGCAGGCATCGTTACTGTCCGATGTTGCCAATTTACGCGTGGTTCGTACCTTCTGAGCCACGGTATTCCAAGGATGACATCAAATTTGTCATCCGAATCCAATACGATAAAGTCATCGTCATATTGGGTATCTTCTAGCGTATAGTGGATCTTCACTATACGCTTCATGACGGTTACGGATGCGCCTGTCGCAAGACGTACCGTCATCCTCGTAGGAGGTGTGTCACATTCACTGAATTTAAAGTGACCATCTTCTAGCGATTGGCGTCGCACAAAATTGTTGGACGCCCCACAATCGACTAGAGCTCGAAGGGACAACTTATTCGTCACTTCGAGTTTCAAGGTAATGAGTGAGACCTCATTACCTAGAGCAGCAACGCACAACGTTTGTGTGTTGGGAGCAACCTTCATCAAGAGGCCTACAAATTCTCTTGACGTTGCTGGACCAGTAGGGTGCTCCGCACCTACTGATCCTGTCCGTTTTTTGACGGTCCATCCCGTTGTTGCGTCTTTGCACCAACTGCGGACCCTCGTCCCTGCCCCTTTCTCATGGGTGGACGGTCACTACGCCCAGTGTCGCGAGACACTGGACGAGGGGCACTACACTCGTAAGCGTAGTGTCCTGTCTTTTGACATCTGTTGCATCTCTGCAACTTCTTGTAGCCTGTAGAGCGAGCCTTCTCGCTCTCTACATAACAGAGTTCCATCGACTCTGGACCTCCGTTGTCATATCGTCTCGGTTGACGATATGATGTCTAGCTGGCGCGAGCCTGTCTCAGACTGAAGTCTTCCTGCTCCGCAATGGAAATGGCTTGTTCTAGTGAATCTAGCTCAAGCCGGAACAGGTGAGTCTTGACGGGACCATCCGCAAGACCCTGCATGAACACCGAAACCAACGTGTGTTCATCCACCGGATTGGAACTTATACAACTCGTGAGATGTCGTATATGTTGAGCGTAAGCTTGCACATCACGCTTACCCTGCTTGAGCTTCAAGAGTTCGGTTCGAGCCCTGAACTCAGCTCTAGGCGGTTCAAACGTTTGTCTGAGCCGCGACTTGAAGACTTCCAACGACCCAAACGCATATGGGTCGTGCAACTTGAGCCCCAGTGCCCAAGTCTTGGCACGTCCTGCCAGATTTGACTGGGCAAATGCAACTTGCATATCCCCGTCGTCGATGCGACGCGCCCTTATGGCGTCGTCCAATTCGACGAACCATCTCAAGAGGGAGTCTTCTTCGACCCCCCTATACTTGGAGATGTCAATCTTTAAAGTCTCGGGTCGACGCGAGTGCATCGACCCGCCAGCAGCAGCCTGCTGCTGTCTCAACAGTTCAAACTGTTGAGCACCCTGTTCTCTCAACAACTCTGCTTGTTGAGAACCTTGTTGGTGAAGCAAGGCTACTTTCTCGCGTTCTGCGTCAAGTTCATTTTGAATGAACTTGGCGATAGTAGCATGTTGGGCGTCTCTATTGAGAGCCTCTAGCATGATGCTAACAGCATGGATGCCCCTGGTTGAACCCATCCGTTCAACCGCATCCCATTCGACATCGCTCAAATGGGAGTAGCCGTCACGCGTAGCGTGAAAGCTTTGGTCATCTTCATCATCTAACATATTCATGTTAGATGTGAACGTGGTCCTTGGACGGACTACGAAGTGCTACCAGGTGTAACGGGGCGTCTTGAAGCTTGTACTGGTGACAGTACAAGCTACTTATTCTGATGACAGAATAAGGCGGTGCCTCGGAACTTCACGTACACTGGTACGTGCAGAGGAAGACGGTAAGAAGAAGCGAGTACTTGGTTAAAGTAAAAAGTAGAACTGTATTTATAATAGTTAATGTCTGCAATAAATCACTATTTATCCTCATCTAACTATGTCTAAATACAAATGTGTAAATCAGTTATCTGCTCACCACTCATTGTGTGCGTCTGTCGTGGCGCGTCTTCGTTGGTTGATATAATGGCCTATATCAACCAATTAGGAACTGCTTGTAAGTGCTACAGAATATTAGTCCTTATGACAATATTCAAAGAATATAACTCTTATAGTTATATTCTATTAACAATTTCTTATAAATTGTTATGTAACGATTCACCCCGTTACACTTCACATAAATGAGCGCTGATTTAAACGGCTAATGTAACGGGGTAGCCCGTTACATGAAATTGACATCAAACGGTGTCAATAGAGATTTTGTCTAGCATGACAATATCCTACCAATATTATTTAAGATGGATAATATTGAAGGAATAGTATCCCCTTTTTGATAATACTCATGCGCTGCTCAAGGATTGGTTGATAAAAGACATATCAACCATGGATTGCCGTCAACCGCTGCTAGACGCGCGCGATGAGTGGCAGGCTTTCGTCACACGACGACGTAGTTTAATATCTTTACATAAAGATTAAAGTAATATTGACAGCTTAACGATATTAAATACAGTTCTCTTTTTACCTTTACTTGATCGAGTAGTTCAAGTAGATAAGCTTCCTCTGCACGTACTTGTGTACGTGAAGTTTCGTGGCGACTAGACGAAAGGTGCCCCGTTACACCTGGTAGCACTTCGTAGTCCTTCCAACGACTACTTAGTGTCCTTCCAACAAGAACATGTTGGACGTAGAAGACGACATCGTTCACGTCACACGCGAAGGTTACTCCTATCTGAGTAAATCAGAATGGGAGATAGTCGGTCGCATGAGTGTGTTCACGAACGAACCCGCCATTAATTGTACGTTCGAGTCTCTAAGCACAGACCAGCAGCATGCTGCTATCAACAAGTTCCTACAAGGGGAACTTGCCGTCGAAAGACAGAAGATAGCTTTGCTACAGCAGCAAGGCTCTCATCAGTCGATGGGCTGGCTGATGCACACGCGTCGACCCGAAACCTTGAAGATTGGTATATCAAGGTACGAGGGAACCGATGAAGGTTCCCTTTTGAGATGGTTCGTCGAGTAAGACGATGTCATCAGGGCCCGTCACATCGAGGGTGACGAGGTGCAAGTTACCTTCGCCCTGTCCAATTTGACAGGACGAGCAAAGACTTGGGCCTTAGGGATCAAGCTTCACGACCCAAACGTGTTTGAGTCGTTTGAGATCTTGAAGTCTCGGCTTAAAGAGACGTTTGAGCCGCCGAGATCCGAGTTCAGAAGACGCTCTGCACTCTTGAGGATACAGCAAGGTAAGCGTGACTTTCACGCTTACGCACAACACATACGCTACCTTGCTGGTAGTGTCACAAAAAACCCTTTTGATGAGCACAAGCTCATCAATGTGTTCATCTATGGCCTTGTGGATGGGCCGGTGAAGACCGACATGCTCCTAGAGGCCTTCCATACGCTGGAAAAGGCGATTGCGTATGCGGAACAAGAAAACTTTAGCCTGAGACAGTATCAGGCTAACTCGTCAAACTATCGTCCGACGAGACGACAGGAAACAGGAGGTCCCTATTCAATGGACCTTTGTAACATCGAGAGCAAGAACAATCGCTCACTGAGCCACAAGCGAACGGCAAGATGCCATCGCTATCAGAAGATTGGACACTACGCTCATGAGTGTAGTGTCCCGAGCACTGCGACACGTCCAAAGACAGGACGTGATGACCACCGTCGGCCAAGGAAATGTCCAAGGCGTGTGTCCGACCATGTCGTTAGCCGCGCCAAAAGGAAGGACCGTAAAAAACGGTCAGGGTCAGTAGGGGTGGAGCACTCTGTCGATACAGCAACGTCAAGAAAATTTGTAGGACTCTTGACGAAGATTTCTCCCAACACGCAGTCGCTGTGTGCTGGGAACCCTTGTGATGAGGTGTCCTTCATCACTTTGAAGATCGGAGTGACAATTGGAATGTCACTTCGCGCCCTAGTTGACTGTGGGGTGCCGACAGTTTTATTCGACGCCAGCCGCTAAGGGGTAGTAGTCTCAACTATGTTGAGCGAGAGTTCCATCCAACGAAGATGACGGTGTGCCTTGATACAGGCGCATCCGTAACAGTGAACAAACGTGTAGTGGGAATCTACTACACGCTAGAAGGAAAGCAGTACGATGATGAATTTATCGTATTAGATTTGGATGACAAATTTGATGTCATCCTTGGTCTGCCATGGGTGAGAAAGTACCAGCCATGGGTTAGCTGGAAGCATCAATCCGTGAAGATGCCTGCCGTTTTTTCATCGGATGGCCGTCTGATGTACGTCTTGGAGCGTCCACAAGCGTGTGGATGTACTGGGAGTGAGTGCGATGGCCTTACTGGTGGTACGGTCGTTAGTACGATTGCACAAGATCACAGTGTAGAAGGCCACTAAACTGTGGAACCAGCTTCCGGCACCTGTGTACAGACACAGGCTGCGCCAAAGTTCACCACTCGGAAAGATTGAGTGGACTGGAACACGGATGCACACCAAGAAGGGTGCATCCGAGAAGAGATATTAGAGTTGTTCAGGATGATCAAAACATTGAAGCGAGATCGACTATCAGATAGTCGGTCGTAGAGTAAGCCCGATTGACTGAAAGAGAGTCGATCGAAGAGGACGTGACCGTGGTAGTACACCCATAGTCAGTACACGTAATGGAAGAAAGTTCCAGCGTTCCTGAGAGTGATAAATCCCGAGAGAGTTATGTTGAGGGTATGGATCTCCAACCACCTGCGGATGTGTTTTGCTGGAAAATCACCGAGACAGTGAATGTCTTGGTGAATGACGGATCAAGTGTAGGCGCTTATACACTTGATCTGGTTACACCCCGAATTCAGCTTCGGAGGCAGTCAGGTTGCCAACGCTAGAATCTAAAAGATTCTTGCGAGATCTGAGTAGTGACAAGATCAAGCAGATGTGCGTACTCGTCACAGAGGACTAGTACGTCACCAATAATCGGTCAGCACAAATGTTTGTTGAGAAAAAACGGTTTTTCACTAGCTCATCGATGGACAAGAGTGTCATCGACGAGAAGACCCGGATTGAGCGATACACGTCTCAATCTTTGGAGTCTTTGAAGACAAATCCTTTGTTAAAGGATTTGGTGGAATTCAGGGATGTTTTCCCGGAATCCGTGCCATGCGAGCTGCCTAAGGACAAAGGAACTCGGCATGAGATCGAACTGAAGCCCGGTTCGAAATAATGTGTCATGAAGCAGTGTCCACTGCCTCGTAAACAAGTACTTGCGATCGACAAATTCTTTTCCGATCGTTTAGCGGCTGGTCATGTGAGGGAATCAACATGCCTACGCAGCTCTCCGACCTTCTGTGTGCGAAAGGCCACAGAAAGGTGGCGGATAGTGCACGCGTTCAGCAAACTAAACGCTGCAACATTACCGGCTCAAACGCCGATAGCAAACTAAACGCTGCAACGGTACCGGCTCAAACGCCGATACCAAGGATAGACGTGATCATAGATGGTATGGCAAAGAGTAACATCTTTTTGTCCATGGATTTGATGGATAGATTTTATCAGACCATTATGCGTGATCGGGATATCCCTTACAAAGCAGTGAGTACACCGAGTGGTATGCTCTGGGAGTGGCTAGTGATGCCACAGGGGCTACGTAACGCCCCCGCAACGTTTAGCAGATGTGTTACGAACATGTTGCGATTGGTTCGAGACTTCGCACCGAATTACTCTGACGATATCTTCATCCATAGCCCGACTATGAATGAAGATATCGTCAAAGTACTCACACTAATGCGAGAGCACAAGTTGTTCGCGAACCTCAAGAGTGTATATTTGCAGCGAATGAAATACCACTTCTTGGATGCGTCGTAGGTAGAAACGGTGTACGCCCTGATCCGGAAAAAACCAAGGCGATAAGCGAATGACCTGTGCCAGTCGACGTCGAGGGACGTCGAAAGTTCCTTGGCTTGGCGGCGTACTTGCACAAGTACTCGCGCAACTACGCCGAGATGACCGTACATCTCTCTTGTCTGCTAAAGAGAAACGAGAGGTGGTCATGAAGCGCTGAGTGTCAGCACTCTTTTGAAAGCATCAAGAAAAGCTTGGTGCAATCGCCTGTGTTGGCGATTGCAGATCAGTATAGGCCATTTCATGTGGTCTGTGACGCCAGCGATTTTGCAATCGGCTGCGCGTTGATGCAGTACGACTCAGACGGCGTTGAGCGCGTCGTCTGTTGTCAATTGCGTCAGCTTCAAGCAGATGAGCAAGATTATCCGGTTCATTACAAGGAACTCCTTGCCATAAAATATGCACTGGCTAAGTTTCAGGTATATCTCTTAGGAGATAGGCCCTTCATCGTTTATACCGACCATGCGTCGTTACGCACGGCCGTAAACAGTCCACACCGCTTGCAACAAATGACGAGGTGGCTATCTTTATTCGCGGAGTACAACTTCTCCGTCGAGTATTAACCAGGACGACTTAATGCCGTCGCTGATCCTCTTTCGCGTCGGCCCGATTTCGAGCCGACTGCTCAACCCAGCAGTAGAGGTGATCCCACTGTTGCGACACTATCAGTGAGTGTTCCGTCGTCGAATCTACTCGACGACGTGCGTAAAGCATAAGATTAATCTCTTCTACTGTTAACGAATTACGCATCGAATCCATGCAGTCAAGCTTTGAAACGCTTGACGTCTCAATATCGCTCTTCAACCGAACGGTATTCGGTTCGTTATGGACCGCTGTACTTTACAAAAGTCAACGGTGACACACCTCGTGTCGTCGTTCCGGCTCATAATGATTTGCAACTTGGCATCATGTATGAGTGTCACGATGCCCCGACAAGTGGAAATCGCGATAGAGAAAAGACTTACCTCACGGTGAGTCGTGGCTTCTACTGGTCCCGCCAGTATGATTTTGTGCGGAAATACATTCGCGCTTGCGAAGTTTGTCATCGGGTGAAGCCTAGTCCTTCATCCCGTGCACCCTTGCAGCCTCTACCGATTCCGGCAGGGTGTTGGCAGTCCGTATCGATGGACTTCGTATTCGGGTTTCCCAAAGACGTTCACAAGAACACTGGGTTTTTAGTGTTTGTTTGTTGATCGGTTCAGCAAGATGGTACATATTGTTGCTGTACCGGAGTCAATCACAGCCCAGGGCTGTGTGCGTGTCTTCATTGATACTATCTTCGACTTCACGAGTTACCCCGTGAACTTGAGTCTGATAGGGACCCCCGCTTTACAGCGGAGATCTGGCAATCCGTGTTCCGTTCACAAGGAACACGTTTGACGATGTTGACTTCTGACCATCCAGAAACAGATGGTCAGACATAACGGTTCAACCGCGTCCTCGAAGAGATACTTCGAGGGTAAGTCCACTCGTTTACAAGTTGGAGTGAGTTCTTGTCGATGACGGAATTCGTCATCAACAACTCGGTGCATGCGTCGACAACGCATGCACCGTTCTTCGTGAATGGCTACGCCATCCACGTTTACCCGCCTTCTTAGAGTGTGACTCTAGTTTCAGGGGGTGTGTACTCGCTCGAACAAAAACTGATCTGGTTCTTGCTCATCACCCGTCGACAATGGTGTCGACGTGATGGATGCCGATGTCGATGCGATCGATATCGATGATGGTGATGGCGACGATGCTAGTACATTCAGCATCGCCATTGACTGCCACAGTGAGGACGATGACACCCTCACAACGTCCTTTCAGCAGTGCACACGAAGCGCACTGCTGTTGATAAGGATGAATCAGCAGATGAATTTCTGCTGACTCGCGAAGCGGTTGTCCGCTTCGTTCAATACTCTATTGCAGATGCACTAGACAGACAGAAGAGAAACGCAGACAAACATGGAAGAGCAAATGTTCTTTCATTTGATGAAGGAGACCTAGTTTTACTGTCTACCGTAAACTTACCGAAACACGCAGTGACTAACGTGGGCAGCAGCAAATTACTGCCCAACTACATCGGTCCATTTCGCGTGTTGCGCCGAATGGGCAAGAATACATGATTGAACTGCCCCGTAAGATGCGTTCGCATCCTATGTTTTACGTCGGTCGTCTCCGCTCGTACTATCAGTACGAGCCCGTTTCAAGATGCGAATAACACCTCCGCGGTCGAGAGCCGAGACCACCTTCGAGTGGTCCCTTTTCAACGAGCCAGTCTGGTCGACTAGCAAATCGACCTGTTCACGCAGTTCAGCGATGTCTCGACGAGCTACAGCCAGCTTGTCAAGAAGAGAACGCGTCGGACGTTCGTTCTTAAGTTGTGCGAACGAAAACGCGGCACCATCGTCCGAACGATCGTGCGTGAAGGAATTGTAATTACCCTTTACAAGATCATGGAGCTCATAACGCCGAGTCCGTTCATGAGCCAGGTCATCTTGTAACTGTTCCGTTACACGGTTCAGCTCCCGAACATCAAGCCGATCCGACCCTCGAGCCAAATCAGGTGTTCCCGCCACCAGCACATCCTTTGGTGGACTTAGGCGGTGGCAAAAGCTTTCTGGTGGAGCGTATTTTGAACCACCGCGACGTGAATGGCGCCCGTACGAGTTACCTCGTCCGCTGGCGTGGCTATCCACCGGCCTGTCACAGCTGGGAGACTCGTGCCCAGCTGATTGTTGATATCCTTGGTCTCGTCGAGCAGTACGACGAGACACACCCGCAGCGCTTGAATAAGGGCCGTCGGAAAATGACCTCCGTGAACGCGAGTACAGGGATTGCAAAGTGTCAATCCCTTCGGCCATCTCGGAAGAGATGCGCGCCCTCCAGTAGGGATCATTAGAGAGGAAGGCCTCCTTAGGGGCATGGTTCGAGTTTTCCAGGCAACCTGGACACGAATCACTCCACGAGAGACAGGTTAATCCTGCCTTTCTTGAAAGCCGGCGCAACTTGTATCGCGCCCCGACTGGGTTGCGTTTCTCAAACCTGATGCGAGCTGCATCGAGAATGGCGGGCCAGGCCTCACGGCCAATGCGCTCGATGTTATGGATGAGGGCATTCTATCCTTGCGCCAAGGCCTTATTGTCTCGACCACGGTTGCCACTGTACCACCGATGTTCAAAAAGCGCATCGGTGGAGAATTCTTCCTCAGCACGGATAGTTTCCGAGAGGGAAGTAGGAGGACAAATCCTCCTACAGTCGAACAACGGAATTTGATCCCGTTCGGTAGTCATGACGGCCAACCGGTCCAACTCCTTGGATGATGGCATCCACGGAGACTCCACTTGAGGAGAGTGGCGCAGGACATTTCGGTCCCTGGCCTCTTGAATGGTGCCAGCGTGAGCGCTGATACCAATGATACCCCGGTCCCTCGAGTTACTTCGCCCATGGTGATGCATAGATGCATCACCACCATCACCACGCGTCCTATCGCTGGATGGACTTGCGTGAGGAGGACATTCGTCGGAATAATCGCTCGATACGAAGATCTCGGTGCATGATACCGCCAAGTTGACCAGAGCCAGTCAACATGGCTCTTGCGTTGTCCGCCCCGGGTTATCCGGAGGCGTGAGGTGTCGCCTTCGAGTCGGATACATCATCCGACTGACCAGAATAAATGAGCTCTATTTCAGACTCATCCAGATTACGATTCGCATTACCCGCTGCAGACGCAGCGGATGTACCTATCACACGTGGTGACTCACCACGTGGACTGTTCACAGCAGCAGGCGACGAATCACCTGCTGCTAAGGTGTGGGAAGCACTCTCTCCGGCAACACGCATGCGTGCAGCCGCTTTTCTTGCTGCTGCAGTAGCAACTCGCTTGGGTTTTGAAACCATGCGTTGGATTGGCAAATGAAAGGAATTCGACCAACAAGTGCTCCCTATCCCAGAGTGTTCCAACGGTGGTGACCCTGTCCCAATCAATTCTCGTTCAGTCAACGGGTGATTAATGGTTAGGGGGTTGATATAACGGGTAGCCCGTTACATGAACTTGACATCAAACGGTGTCAATAGAGAAATTGTCTAGCATGACAATATCCTGCCAATATCATCCGAGTGGGTAATATTGAAGGAATAGTATCCCCTTCTGGATAATATTGATGCACTGCTCCAAGATTGGTTGATAAAAGACAAATCGACCATAGATTGCCACCAATCGCTTCTAGACGCGCGAAATGAGGGGTGAGCAGGTTTCCGTCATACGACGACGTAGTTTAACATAGTTAGATAAAGATTAAAGTTATATTGACAGCTTAACGATACTAAATACAGTTCTCTTTTCACCCTTTACTTAACGTATATGCTGGGTAAATTATCTTTCTCTGCACGCAACAGTGTACGTGAAGATTCGTGACACCCGGACAAAGGGTGCCCCGTTAAAACTGTAGCACGAAGTCTGTAACGGGTCACCTTTTGTTGGAAGTGCCACGAATCTTCACGTACACTGGTTACACCTGTTGCACGATGTCTGTAACGGGGCATTATTTTTTTGAAACGCCACGAAACTTCACGTACACTAGCACGTACAGAGGAGACTTATCTACTTGAACGACTAGGTCAAGTAAAGGTAAAAAGATAGCTGTATTTAGTATCGTTAAGCTGTCAATATTACTTTAATCTTTATCTAACTATGTTAAACTACGTCGTCGTATGACGAAAACCTGCTCACTTCTCATTTCGCGCGTCTAGAAGCGATTGGTGGCAATCTATGGTCGATTTGTCTTTTATCAACCAATCTTGGAGCAGTGCATCAATATTATCCAGAAGGGGATACTATTCCTTCAATATTACCCACTCGGATGATATTGGCAGGATATTGTCATGCTAGACAATTTCTCTATTGACACCGTTTGATGTCAAGTTCATGTAACGGGCTACCCGTTATATCAACCCCCTAACCATTAATCACCCGTTGACTGAACGAGAATTGATTGGGACAGGGTCACCACCGTTGGAACACTCTGGGATAGGGAGCACTTGTTGGTCGAATTCCTTTCATTTGCCAATCCAACGCATGGTTTCAAAACCCAAGCGAGTTGCTACTGCAGCAGCAAGAAAGGCGGCTGCACGCATGCATGTTGCCGGAGAGAGTGCTTCCCACACCTTAGCAGCAGGTGATTCGTCGCCTGCTGCTGTGAACAGTCCACGTGGTGAGTCACCACGTGTGATAGGTACATCCGCTGCGTCTGCAGCGGGTAATGCGAATCGTAATCTGGATGAGTCTGAAATAGAGCTCATTTATTCTGGTCAGTCGGATGATGTATCCGACTCGAAGGCGACACCTCACGCCTCCGGATAACCCGGGGCGGACAACGCAAGAGCCATGTTGACTGGCTCTGGTCAACGTGGCGGTATCATGCACGAGATCTTCGTATCGAGCGATTATTCCGACGAAACTCCGCCTCACGCAAGTCCATCCAGCGATAGGACGCGTGGTGATGGTGGTGATGCATCTATGCATCACCATGGGCGAAGTAACTTGAGGGACCGGGGTATCATTGGTATCATAGCTCACGCTGGCACCATTCAAGAGGCCAGGGACCGAAATGTCCTGCGTCACTCTCCTCAAGTAGAGTCTCCGTGGATGCCATCATCCAAGGAGTTGGAACGGTTGGCCGGAATGACTACCGAACGGGATCGAATTCCGTTGTTCGACTGTAGGAGGATTTGTCCTCCTACTTCCCGCTCGGAAACTATCCGTGCTGAGGAAGAATTCTCCACCGATGCGTTTTTTGAACATCGGTGGTACAATGGCAACCGTGGTCGAGACAATAAGGCCTTGGCACAAGGATAGAATGCCCTCATCCATAACATCGAGCGCATTGGCCGTGAGGCCTGGCCCGCCATTCTCGATGCAGCTCGCATCAGGTTTAAGAAACGCAACCCAGTCGGGGCGCGATACAAGTTGCGCCGGCTTTCAAGAGAGGCAGGATTACCCTGTCTCTCGTTGGGTGATTCGTGTCCAGTTTGCCTGAAAAACTTGAACCATGCCCCTAAGGAGGCCTTCCTCCCTAATGATCCCTACTGGAGGGCGCGCATCTCTTCCGAGATGGCCGAAGGGATTGACACTTTGCAATCCCTGTACTCGCGTTCACGGAGGTCATTTTCCGACGGCCCTTATTCAAGCGCTGCGGGTGTGTCTCGTCGTACTGCTCGACGAGACCAAGGATATCAACAATCAGCTGGGCACGAGGCTCCCAGCTGTGACAGGCCGGTGGATAGCCACGCCAGCGGACGAGGTAACTCGTCTGGACGCCATTCACGTCGCGGTGGTTCAAAATACGCTCCACCAGAAAGCTTTTGCCACCGCCTAAGTCCACCAAAGGATGTGCTGGTGGCGGGAACACCTGATTTGGCTCGAGGGTCGGATCGGCTTGATGTTCGGGAGCTGAACCGTGTAACGGAACAGTTACAAGATGACCTGACTCATGAACGGACTCGGCGTTATGAGCCTCATGATCTTGTAAAGGATAATTACAATTCCTTCACGCACGATCGTTCGGACGATGGTGCCGCGTTTTCGTTCGCACAACTTGAGAACGAACGTCCGACGCGTTCTTTTCTTGACAAGCTGGCTGTAGCTCGTCGAGACATCGCTGAACTGCGTGAACAGGTCGCTTTTCTAGTCGACCAGACTGGCTCGTTGAAAAGGGACCACTCGAAGGTGGTCTCGGCTCTCGACCGCGGAGGTGTTATTCGCATCTTGAAACGGGCTCGTACTGGTAGTACGAGCGGAGACGACCGACGTAAAACGTAGGATGCGAACGCATCTTACGGGGCAGTTCAATCGTGTATTCTTGCCCGTTCGGCGCAACACGCGAAATGGACCGATGTACTTGGGCAGTAATTTACTGCTGCCCACGTTAGTCACTGCGTGTTTCGGTAAGTTTACGGTAGACAGTAAAACTAGGTCTCCTTCATCAAATGAAAGAACATTTGCTCTTCCATGTTTGTCTGCGTTTCTCTTCTGTCTGTCTAGTGCATCTGCAATAGAGTATTGAACGAAGCGGACAACCGCTTCGCGAGTCAGCAGAAATTCATCTGCTGATTCATCCTTATCAACAGCAGTGCGCTTCGTGTGCACTGCTGAAAGGACAATGTGAGGGTGTCATCGTCCTCACTGTGGCAGTCAATGGCGATGCTGAATGTACTAGCATCGTCGCCATCACCATCATCGATATCGATCGCATCGACATCGGCATCCATCACGTCGACACCATTGTCGACGGGTGATGAGCAAGAACCAGATCAGTTTTTGTTCGAGCGAGTACACACCCCCTGAAACTAGAGTCACAATCTAAGAAGGCGGGTAAACGTGGATGGCGTAGGCCATTCACGAAGAACGGTGTATGAGTTGTCGACGCATGCACCGAGTTGTTGATGGCAGATTCCGCCATCAGCAAGAACTCACTCCAACTTGTAAACGAGTGGACATACCCTCGAAGTATCTCTTCGAGGAAGCGGTTGGCCCTTTATGTCTGACCATCTGTTTCTGGATGGTCAGAAGTCGACATCGTCAAACGTGTTCCTTGTGAACGGAAAACGGATTGCCAGATCTCCGCTGTAAAGCGGGGGTCCCTATCAGACACGAGTTCACGGGGTAACTCGTGAAGTCGGAAGATAGTATCGATGAAGACACGCACACAGCCCTGGGCTGTGATTGACTCCGGTACAGCAACAAGATGTACCATCTTGCTGAACCGATCAACAAACAAACACTAAAAACCAGTATTCTTGTGAACGTCTTTGGGAAACCCGAATACGAAGTCCATCGATACGGACTGCCAACACCCTGCCGGATTTGTTAGAGGCTGCAAGGGTGCACGGGATGAAGGAATAGGCTTCACCCGTTGACAAACTTCGCAAGCGCGAATGTATTTCCGCACAAAATCATACTGGCGGGACCAGTAGAAGCCACGACTCACCGTGAGGTAAGTCTTTTCTCTATCGCGATTTCCACTTGTCGGGGCATCGTGACACTCATACATGATGCCAAGTTGCAAATCATCATGAGCCGGAACGACGACACGAGGTGTGTCACCGTTGACTTTTGTAAAGTACAGCGGTCCACAACGAACCGAATACCGTTCGGTTGAAGAGCGATATTGAGACGTCAAGCGTTTCAAAGCTTGACTGCATGGATTCGATGCGTAATTCTTTAACAGCAGAAGAGATTAATCTTATGCTTTACGCACGTCGTCGAGTAGATTCGACGACGGAACACTCACTGATAGTGTCGCAACAGTGGGATCACCCCTACTGCTGGGTTGAGCAGTCGGCTCGAAATCGGGCCGACGCGAAAGAGGATCAGCGACGGCATTAAGTCGTCCTGGTTAACACTCGACGGAGAAGTTTTACTCCGCGAATAAAGATAGCCACCTCGTCATTTGTTGCAAGAGGTGTGGACTGTTTACGGCCGTGAGTAACGACGCATGGTCGGTATAAACGATGAAGGGCCTATCTCCTAAGAGATATACCTGAAACTTAGCCAGTGCACATTTCATGGCAAGGAGTTCCTTGTAATGAACCGGATAATTTTGCTCATCTGCTTGCAGCTGACGCAATTGACAACAGACGACGCGCTCAACGCCGTCTGAGTCGTACTGCGTCAACGCGCAGCCGATTGCAAAATCGCTGGCGTCACAGACCACATGAAATGGCCTATACTGATCTGCAATCGCCAACACAGGCGATTGCACCAAGCTTTTCTTGATGCTTTCGAAAGAGTGATTACACTCAGCGCTCCATGACCACCTCTCGTTTCTCTTTAGCAGACAAGAGAGATGTACGGTCATCTCGGCGTAGTTGCGCGAGTACTTGTGCAAGTACGCCGCCAAGCCAAGGAACTTTCGACGTCCCTCGACGTCGACTGGCACAGGTCAGTCGCTAATCGCCTTGATCTTTTCCGGATCAGGGCGTACACCGTTTCTACCTACGACGCATCCAAGAAGTGGTATTTCATTCGCTGCAAATATACACTCTTGAGGTTCGCGAACAACTTGTGCTCTCGCATTAGTGTGAATAATTTGACGATATCTTCATTCATAGTCGGGCTATGGATGAAGATATCGTCAAAGTAATTCGGTGCGAAGTCTCGCACCAATCGCAACACGTTCGTAACACATCTGCTAAACGTTGCGGGGGCGTTACTTATCCCCTGTGGCATCACTAGCCACTCCCAGAGCATACCAGTCGGTGTGCTCACTGCTTTGTAAGGGATATCCCGATCACGCATGATGATCTGATAGAATCTATCCATCAAATCCATGGACAAAAAGATGTTACTCTTTGCCATACCATCTATGATCACGTCTATCCTGGTATCGGCGTTTGAGCCGGTACCGTTGCAGCGTCGGCGTTTGAGCCGGTACCGTTGCAGCGTTTAGTTTGCTATCGGCGTTTGAGCCGGTAATGTTGCAGCGTTTAGTTTGCTGAACGCGTGCACTATCCGCCACCCTTCTGTGGCCTTTCGCACACAGAAGGTCGGAGAGCTGTGTGGGCATGTTGATTCCCTCACATGACCAGCCGCTAAACGATCGGTAAAATATTTGTCGATCGCAAGTACTTGTTTACGAGGCAGTGGACACTGCTTCATGACACATTATTTCGAACCGGGCTTCAGTTCGATCTCATGCCGAGTTCCTTTGTCCTTATGCAGCTCGCATGGCACGGATTCCGGGAAAACATCCCTGAATTCCACCAAATCCTTTAACAAAGGATTTGTCTTTAGAGACTCCCAAGATTGAGACGTGTATCGAACAATCCGGGTCTTCTCGTCGATGACACTCTTGTCCACCGATGAACTACTGAGAACCCGTTCGTTCTCAGCAAACATTTGTGCTGACCGATTATTGGTGACGTACTAGTCCTCTGTGACGAGTACGCAGATCTGCTTGATCTTGTCACTACGCAGATCTCGCAAGAATCTTTTAGATTCTAGCGTTGGCAACTTGACTACCTCCGAAGCTGAATTCGGGGTGTAACCAGATCAAGTGTATAAGCGCCTACACTTGATCCGTCATTCACCAAGACATTCACTGTCTCGGTGATTTTCCAGCAAAACACATCCGCAGGTGGTTGGATATCCACACTCTCAACATAACTCTCTCGGGATTTATCACTCTCAGGAACGCTGGAACTTTCTTCCATTACGTGTACTGACTATGGGTGTACTACCACGGTCACGTCCTCTTCGATCGACTCTCTTTCAGTCAATCGGGCTTACTCTACGACCGACTATCTGATAGTCGATCTCGCTTCAATGTTTTGTTCATCCTGAACAACTCTAATCTCTCTTCTCGGATGCACCCTTCTTGGTGTGCATCCGTGTTCCAGTCCACTCAATCTTTCCGAGTGGTGAACTTTGGCGCAGCCTGTGTCTGTACACAGGTGCCGGAAGCTGGTTCCACAGTTTAGTGGCCTTCTACACTGTGATCTTGTGCAATCGTACTAACGACCGTACCGCAAGTGAGGCCATCGCGCTCACTCGTAGTACATCCACACGCTTGTGGACGCTCCAAGACGTTCATCAGATGGCCATCCGATGAAAAAACGGCAGGCATATTCACGGATTGATGCTTCCAGCTAACCCATGGCTGGTACTTTCTCACCCATGGCAGACCAAGGATGACATCAAATTTGTCATCCAAATCTAATACGATAAATTCATCATCGTACTGCTTTCCTTCTAGCGTGTAGTGGATTCCCACTACACGTTTGTTCACTGTTACGAATGCGCCTGTATCAAGGCACACTGTCATCCTCGTTGGATGGAACATTCGCTCAACATAGTTG